CCCCCCCCCCCCCCCCCGATTTTGTGTTAACATGTTACAGATTATTACTATTAATGAGCTTATCAAAATTAAATATTAACGTTATGACAAAATTTCTTCATTAATTATATCAATATATCCACAGATTATGTCAGCATTTCTTTTAAAAATAGCTTGTAAGTTGAAAGATGAATGTACCACACTACTTTCTGTTGTGTTTATAGTCCTGTTGTAGTCATTGGTATTGACTTGCGGTTCGGAACTTACGCTTCAGTATTGTTGATGTTGCACATTTGTTTTCTAATATATTTTCAAAGCGGAAATCTCGAGAAACGTTTTTTTCTGTTTTTACTTGTGATGTAAATATAAACATTCTATAAACTGTTTCACTTCCACAACGGTGAATACAACCTTGAGTGGGAAATTTGAAATGCACATGCCATTGTAAATTCCCTCCANCAAAGGGTACATGAATATCACTTGAAATTATTCATTGATTCATGAAAAAAACAATATAATTATAAAATATGTGTGCCAAGTTCAATGTCGTAGCTTTTTTAGCATGATCGTTATCATTAAATCACCACTTTGATGATATATAATTATGACGTAGATCGATTTGTTCGTGTTTACAGGACAAACAGACTCAACGGCATGTTCAGGTGTTGCAAGTAACACTGCAAATCCATGTACGATAACGTGGAAAGGAGATTATACTGATTTTGTGGACGTCCTACCTCTATCGTGTGAGAGAGTTTTAGTTTCACCCTCGTGCAAAACCAGATGTCAACAGAAGAAGAATGGCACAGTACAATGCAAAGGAACAATAATTTGCAGTGCCTCACCAGGTGAAAAGACTATTTTCTAACGTTATATGTAATTATAATTTTATATAATGTATACAGACAACACTTATAATTACGTCGTTTTTTTATACAGAGAAGTTATAATCGATAACAATGTGAAGTACGATATTATCTGCAATAAGAATTTTCAATAAAAATACACTTGAAAAATAAAACATCAGTAATCCAATTTGGTCGTTGGACAAAATTTGCATTAGCGACTGATAGAAAAAGTATTCAGCGTCACGTATCATATATTGCTATCTAATTTAAATAAAGAACAAATTATACTATTGTATTCCTTATCATTTAAGGTCCCACCTGTTAGGACAACTCCCGGAAATGTGTGTAGTCACCTATCAAGGTATTACGTGCTTTGATAAGATAAAATTGCTTTACTAAATGAGGAGTAGACATTCCCAAGGGTTATGAATGTGTCATAGTGCCNTTTACATTGTAGCTTAACTCATTCCCCACTAGTGATTGATCACTTCACAAGGTTGTTAACACTGGTTGTGGATTATTAATATTCATGGTAAGCTGTAGCATTGTAGCTTAACTCATTCCCCACTAGTGATTGATCACGTCACAAGGTTGTTTTCACTATTTTTGGATTATTAATCCTCATGGTAAGCTGTAACAAGGCAGCTTAACTCATTCCCCACTAGTGACTGATCACGTCACAAGGTTGTTAACACTGGTTGTGGATTATTAATATTCATGGTAAGCTGTAGCATTGTAGCTTAACTCATTCCCCACTAGTGATTGATCACGTCACAAGGTTGTTTTCACTATTTTTGGATTATTAATCCTCAAGGTAAGCTGTAACATTAGTTGTAGCTGGGATTTATTCTTACACGGCATTCATGAAATTCGAGTTTAATATCGAATCATATCTAGCTAAGAATTGTCAATTTGTAACGTTATAAGTGAAATATATAT